TGGTGCAGTTCTACTTGGAATCTCAACGCAGATTCACTCCTAAGATCCAACCGCATTACGTGTACTCTCCTCGTGAGCTTACACGATGGGTTCGTGGTGTATATGAGGCTATTAAGCCGCTTGAGACACTCTCCGTCGAGGGCCTGGTGCGTATATGGGCACATGAAGCTCTGCGTCTGTTCCAGGATCGACTGGTCGCCGAGGAAGAGAGGAATTGGACAGCCGACGCAGTCCGCCGCATTGCACTTGACAACTTCCCTACGATTGACGAGGAGCAAGCGCTGAAGGGGCCGATCCTGTTCTCGAATTGGTTGTCTAAGAACTATGTCCCTGTTGAACGAGAGCGACTACGCGACTTCGTTAAGGCTCGCTTGAAGACCTTCTGCGAGGAGGAGGTTGATGTTCCTCTCGTGCTCTTCAACGATGTCTTGGAGCATGCACTGCGCATCGACCGGGTGTTCCGCCAGCCTCAGGGCCATCTCATCCTCATTGGTGTCAGCGGAAGTGGTAAAACGACATTGTCTCGCTTTGTGGCTTGGATGAATGGTTTGAAGGTCTTCCAGATCAAGGTACATGGAAAGTATTCTTCGGAGGACTTCGATGACGACTTAAGAACCGTTCTTCGACGCGCGGGCTGCAAGGGCGAGCAGATCTGCTTTATAATGGACGAGTCCAATGTTCTTGACTCTGGCTTCCTTGAGCGCATGAACACACTGCTCGCTAATGCTGAAGTTCCCGGCCTATTCGAAGGAGATGAGTTCTCGTCTCTGATGACCGCTTGCAAGGAGGGCGCTCAACGTCAAGGTCTTCTCCTCGACTCTCAGGAAGAGCTCTATAAATGGTTCACACAGCAGATTGTCAAGAACCTTCACGTTGTGTTCACGATGAACCCCCCTGAGGAGGGTCTATCTTCCAAGGCTGCCACAAGTCCCGCCCTGTTCAACCGTTGTGTACTCAACTGGATGGGTGATTGGTCTGATCAAGCCCTTTTCCAGGTCGGCTCTGAACTCACTCAGTCACTCGACTTGGACAAGCCAAACTTTGTTGCACCTGACAGCATTCCTGTCGCTTATCGCGATCTCAGCCTTCCTGCATCTCATAGAGATGCGGTTGTCAACTCGATGGTCTATATCCATTATTCATTGCAGAGGTTCAACCAACGTTTGCAGAAGCAACAAGGAAAGACCACATTCCTCACTCCCCGTCACTACCTTGACTTTGTCGCTCAGTATGTGAAGCTGTTCAATGAGAAGCGGGAGGATCTGGAAGAGCAACAGCGGCACTTGAACGTCGGTCTGGAGAAACTCAGGGATACTGTCGACAAGGTCAGCGACTTGCGTGCTAGTCTTGCCCAGAAGAAAATGCAGTTGGAGAAGAAGGATGCGGAAGCAAACGAGAAGCTGCAACGCATGGTTGCTGATCAAAGAGAGGCGGAGCAACGGAAGGCTGTGTCTCTTGAGGTTCAGGCTGCCCTGGAGAAGCAGGAGAAAGAAGTGGCTTTGCGAAAGGAAGTTGTGCTCAATGACTTGGCTCGAGCGGAGCCCGCTGTCCTTGAGGCCCAGAAAAGCGTGCAAAACATCAAACGTCAGCATCTTACGGAAGTTCGTTCTATGGGCAACCCGCCCGCTAGCGTTCGGCTTGCTCTCGAAGCCGTGTGCACTCTGCTTGGCCACAAAGTTGACAGCTGGAAGACGATCCAGGGTATTGTCAGAAGAGATGATTTCATCGCCAGTATCGTCAATTACGACAACGAAAAGCAGATGACAAGAAATCACCGTCTCAAGATGCAGAACGAATTCCTTTCAAAGGAGGATTTCACTTACGAGCGAGTCAACCGAGCCAGTAGAGCCTGTGGTCCCCTGGTCCAGTGGGTGGAAGCTCAGGTCAATTACTCCGAGATTCTCGACCGTGTTGGACCGCTGCGTGAGGAGGTCGGTCAACTTGAAGAGCAAGCCCTGCAGACCAAGGCGGAGGCTCAGGCCATCGAGAATACCGTTCAGAACCTCGAGAGCAGCATTGCCACCTACAAAGCTGAATATGCTGCCCTCATTAGTGAAACCCAAGCCATCAAGACAGAAATGTCAAGGGTACAGTTTAAGGTCGACCGAAGTGTGCGCTTACTTGATAGCTTGTCATCCGAGCGTACACGTTGGGAGGAGGGAAGCAAGTCATTCGAAACACAGATCAGCACTCTCGTGGGTGATGTTCTGATTGCCGCAGCTTTCCTGGCTTATGCTGGTTTCTACGATCAACAATTCCGGAAGGCCATGATTGATGACTGGGTGAACCAACTGGCACAATCGGGCATCAACTTTAAGCCACACAATCCGATTACGGAGTACCTGTCGAATGCCGACGAACGCTTGACTTGGCAAGATCACGCCCTTCCAGTTGACGATCTCTGCACCGAAAACGCCATCATCCTGAAGCGGTACAACAGATACCCTCTGATCATCGATCCTTCGGGTCGCGTCACTGAGTTCTTGCAGAAGGAAAGTACAGATAGGAAACTCACCGTCACAAGTTTCCTGGACGACTCCTTTGTCAAGCAACTGGAGAGTGCCCTGCGTTTCGGTAATCCAATCCTCATTCAAGATGCGGAACACCTGGATCCCATCCTCAACCATGTCCTCAACAAGGAATATCAAAAGACTGGTGGGCGTGTTCTCATCCAGCTCGGGAAACAAGAGATTGATTTCTCGCCTTCGTTTAAACTTTTCCTCTCGACAAGAGACCCTTCTGCGACTTTCCCGCCAGACGTATGCAGTAGAACCACTTTTGTCAACTTCACCGTCACACAGAGCAGTTTGCGAACTCAGTCGCTCAACGAAGTCCTCAAGTTTGAGCGGCCGGATGTGGACGCGCGGCGCACCGACTTGGTTAAGCTGCAAGGAGAATTCAAGATCCATCTCCGTCAGCTCGAGAAACGACTGCTGCAAGCATTGAACGAATCTCGCGGCAACATCCTGGATGATGACAACGTTATTGAGACTCTCGAGACCCTCAAGAAGGAGGCGGCCGAGATCTCCAAGAAGATGGTGGAGACTGAGGGCGTCATGACGGAGGTCGAAAATATCACCTTGAACTACAGCATCATCGCTCGCTCTTGCAGCGCTGTGTTTGCTGTTTTGGAGCAGCTCCATCACATCAATCATTTCTACCAATTTTCGCTGCAGTATTTTGTGGATATTTTCCACTCGGTCCTCTATCAGAACAAGCGCCTTGCCGCGGAGAAGGACCACTCGGCGCGCGTGCAAATCATTCTCAAGGATTTGTTCGTTACGACATTCCAGCGGACTTCCCTGGGGCTGGCTCAGAAAGACCGTATCACGCTGGCCATGCTTCTCGCACAAGCCGCTCCATACCCGATGGACAAGACAATCATTGATATCATTCTTGACGAGTCGGTGCAGGGCGCCGATCTGTCGACTGCTCCGGAGGTTAAGGAGCAGGTTCTGACCAAGATCTCGAACATACCAATCTTCAAAGCGTCATTCGCCAATATCTCACAAGAACAATGGGATCAGTTTTTGGGCGAGGAATTGGCTGAAAACTACGTCCCGGTCGTTTGGGATGACAACACCGAGCAGCTCGACCGACTGCTTCGCTCACTGTTGCTGGTGAAGCTTTGCAGGCTGGACAGATTCGTACCCGGTGCCGAGCGTTTCATCGAGGCGGTCTTTGGTCGAGAATTCTTTGAAGGAAGTTCTGATTTGAAGGATGTTGTCGAACAGGTTGCAGCAACCACACCAATCTCTCTCAGCTCGAGTCCTGGATTTGATGCTAGTTACAAAGTGGATGCTCTCGTCGAACGTATGCACGCAACCTGCGCCAACATTGCAATGGGCTCCAACGAAGGTCTCGAGAGCGCCGACAAAGCAATCAGCAATGCTGCTACAGCTGGAACGTGGGTACTGGTCAAGAACGTCCACCTGGCACCGTCCTGGCTTCAAAGTCTGGAGAAGAGGCTCGACTCGCTCAAACCTCACAAGGATTTCCGACTCTTCCTCTCAATGGAGTCCAGTCCGAAGATTCCAGTCAATCTCATCCGCGCTTCTCGCGTTCTGATGTACGAGCAACCAGCTGGTATTCGTGCAAACATGAGGGACTCACTGTCTACCCTGATGGAACGCGCCGGCCAACCCCCCGTTGAGAAAGCGCGTGTCTATCTCTTGCTTTGCTTCTTGCATGCCGTCGTTCAAGAAAGACTTCGTTATGCGCCTAGCCTGGGTTGGAAGGGCTTCTGGGAGTTCAATGACAGTGACGTAAGTGACCACTTAATCAAATTCATCATTGCAATCCCACTAACGAGTTTTTAATAGTACGAATGCTCAGCCCATATCATCGATGTCTGGGTGGAGACGGTTGCCCAGGGCCGATCCAATGTTGCACCTCAGAAACTCCCTTGGGAAATGATCCGTACCCTGATAACGGAGACATACGGCGGCAAGGTCGACGACGCTGAGGACTTCCAGGTGTTGGACAACCTCGTGAACAGCTTCCTCACTCCGGCTGCCTTCGAAGTCGACTACAAACTCGTTTCGGGCGTTGAGAAGGACGAGTGTCTGGCACTGCCTGGAGAAACCAGCATCCGTGACTTTGTCGAATGGGTCAAACGCCTACCTGAGCGAGAGCCACCCACGTACCTGGGTCTGCCAGCCAATGCTGAGAAACTGTTGCTGGTCGGGCATGGCAACAAGATGATCTCGGACTTGTCGAAGATCACTACTTTATTGGATGAAGGGGAGCAGTTGATGATTGAAGGTTAAGTCTATTTCCAAACGTAGACCAAGAATTTTCTGTACTTATTATAGTCCCGCTGGCGGGCTCTCTTCCTCTCATTGTTTTGTTTGTGTTGATAGACTTGACTACGCAGCTTTCTTTCAATATTTGTCTTAGAACCTTTGTTCCGTCGTCGTTCATTCTTGTTGATAGTCTTATGAGTCTTCGGTCACTGTCTTCAAATCAAGGTTCCAGTCCCCAACAGTCAGCCCGACCACCTAGAAACCATACATGGTTTGCCCCATCTGTAGTAGCAAACGTTAGTAACTGAACAACACGGGGATAAGTAAAGCTCACTCTCTGCAAGGCGTAAACAACCTTGAGAATCAGGCATTCGTATTAGTATCCGCTCGCATTTTAAAGTTCAACTATCAGACTCACATCTCGTGTGGTGACAACCTGCTCGAAAGATTAGCAAGAGCAGATATAGTCGGACAACTGCAGAATCCTCCGCTGCACACAACAAGGGGAGATAAACTCAACGCTACTAACCTTCCTATCGTGTCTATGAGTCTTCGAGGACTCTAGCACTTGCACCACCTGAAACAGAATCTACAGATAGGGCGGTTAGTACATCTCCTTCACCTCAAACCCATTGCCCGTTCCCCGGGGAAAGGCAAGGATTTGCTTAAACAGCTCGTTCCAGGAAGGAATCTCACCTCACGAAGCCGTCCTCTGATGACGGAGCGTATCTCAGCGTAGATGTCCGTTTTTATGCGGACTACGCCTCCACGGCGGGCGAGACGGCTATGGCTCCGATTGCGGTTCAGAGGGCAGATTTCTTGTATGTTGCCGGGCGAGTAGCTTACCGGATAGCGGGTTTGGCTAGAGATTGTGGTTAGTGGTCGGAGGTTCGGATTTGGCTCGATGGAGACTTACTGATGCCCATGATATTGTCACGGAGGAAACTGTGAGTTCATAATGGTGAGTATAAGGGGTATGTGGATGGGATGCTGGTCAAGTCCCGGTTGTCGAGGTCATAAAGCGCAGCAGTAGATAGGCGACTTACCGACGCCGGTGGCCTTTTAGAAGGAGGCCTCGAGTATTGGGGTTGGCGGCTAAGTGGGCGACGTCCATGATGACAGTAATTGATTGGAGTTGCGGATGTATGGTTGTCTGGTGCGAAAGTCCAAAGAGATGCTATGAAAAGATTGCGTGAGAATGTTGGAAGACACTTCTCGGTTAGCAGTCGAGGAAATCTTAAGGTATAAATACTACGAGTTGTGTTAGCTTATTGTCTATTGTGTTGTGCTACTGGAGATGTTGTTGAATGGGGTGAATCACTTACATTGAATAGCACAAACATGAAACCGGCACTGATGTGACCCCTAGATGTTGAGCAGAACCGGGAAAATAGCATTGAGGTTTGACAAGTATGAATAGCATTAAAAAAATTCTTTATATGAGTAATTAGGGTCACGCAGGGTGCGTGATTTATGAGTATCAACGAGAATGGGCAAAATAATACTCAAAACGCCACAGACAAGTTCCTGTCAGGTGTGCTATATGTACGTAGAGTCATTCACGAGATGAACGTAGCCTCAGAGAACATGGAACCCTCCTCTGAGAGCTCCTCGTCGCCGATCTTGAGCTTTAGAGACAGTTTCTCCTGGGGAGAATACTGGCCAATTGTTAGCTTGACAAACCGCATGCCAGTTGCAGGAAAACTCACCTGGAATATGTACGGCCGTGTCCCAGCGACACTCCCCGCAATGGTCTTGACGAAGCCTGGTACTTCAGCCATGACATCGACGCGGTCCAGCCGATCACCGAGGGGCCCCTCGAGCTCTGCGTGGACGTCCTTGTCGTCCTTCGACTTGCCCTCCCAGACCCACTTGATGGAAGTTGGAGCAGGCCAGTCGCTGTCGGCGTCATGGGCCGACGCGGTGTGGGTAGCCGAGTTCGTTGCACCGGCGTAGATAATCTCGTCATCCTTGACGATGCCACCGACATTGACGACCGTCGAGCCGTACGAGGGGGGTGTTGTGTATTCCATCATGACGGCAGAGTATGATGGGGTCTGGAAGTTGACAAAGTTCCATCGTGCAGCTATTACCGGCTCAGTATTCTCATTTACATTTATACCACAAAATGGGGGAACTCACCAGCGTGATGGGGCTTCATGCCCTGGATGGCATGAATGAACATTCCCCGACCGGTGAGGTCATAGGTCTTCTCCTTTGTTGTGATTGTACCCTCAACACGGCACCGAGGCCAGAAGGCATGCATCATGGAGCCCCAGGGGTTCGCGGGATCGGTCCCGAAGTAAGATGTGCCGTCCTTTCCTACGACAAAACCGGGGGCGGCGCGGGTGAACGTCAGATTCACCAGGCTGTCCTCGTTGACGGCGGACTTGATGGTGTACGCAGTTCCCTCCTCGTTCAGCGTTAAGGCGAGATTGTCGGCTCCGAAGGAGAGCATGTTCTCATCGAACATGAAGTTGTATAGGGGATCGGAGTGCCAGATGTGGGGTTGATCGCCTTTGAGGTTAAAGATCTTTGAGTTGAATTGCGCAGTAGTGTGAATTCCTCTGCACAAGTGTCAGGTCCTGAGCAGCCACGATACACAAGGTTCCATTGCAGTGTCGACAGGTGTAAAACGAGGCCTGAAGAATTGCAACGACTGGAACAGATCCACTCACGCGATGTTGCTGTAGATGACCTGCACCATGACGAGAGTGCCATTGTCGGCCATCACATAAAAGGTCTCGGTCTCAACATTGGTATATTGATAGGCGCGCCACCGCAGGTCGTCCTTGGTCAACTCGGTATAAGGGGTCTGCTGAGCTTGTTGGGCAACAGACTGAATGGCCTCGGGGCCATAGATGGGCTCCTGAGTGCCCGCAACACTTGCAAGGCTACATATAGCATAGTCAATCAGTACGGTCGATATTATACATCAAAAACGAGACGAGACCGGAGAAATATCATACGTAGACTTGAGCCAGTTCATGATGGGCAGATAGAGATGATGATTGTACGTTAGGTGTGAGGGAGGGATGAAGGGAAAGGGAAATCAATAGTAGCGCGCGGGGCACTAATGGCGTCGATCGGCTTAAGTACAGCAGCTGTATTGGCTTCTGAGAGATTGCAGCGGTGATATTGATGCTCCTGGTGATTTAACTACGAAGCACTATAGACTATGATGACAATTTGCTAAGGTAGGAACCCCCCTACGATCAGGATATTTCAACGACATCATCCCAATGGCGTCCCACCTTGATCAAGTTTAGCCATCTGAGCAGTCCAAGAATGCTCTTTTTTACGGCCGGTCGGAAGGTGACCCAGAGCGGTAAGAAACTCCGGTCCTGGGACTTATCCGAATCCGAACAAAACTCGGCTGCAGATAGTTGGCGGATCACTTCATTTTTGTATACAGACATACTGTACTTTCGTCTCTTTGCGGGCACATCTCACCATGGCGAAGAAGGCACTGGCTAAAGATCAGATTGTCAAGCTCATTGTCGGAGCTGGACAGGCCAGTCCCAGTCCCCCAGTCGGTCCAGCCCTGGGTAGCAAGGGTGTCAAGAGTATGGATTTCTGCAAGGTACGTTCCTCTCTTCACGTCCTTCTTCGGCTTTAAGGCGGATCTGGATGGATAGCTTGAACTTGATCGTCTTACTAAACCGCTACGCGCCCGTATAGGAGTTCAATGCCAGGACTGCGCACATCAACACCGGAGTCCCCATTCCCGCACGAGTCACCGTTCGTCCTGACCGATCCTTCACCTTCGACCTTCGAACCCCAACGACGACATATCTCCTCCTGCAGGCTGCGAACGTGGAGCCCCGCAAGAACCGAATTCGCGGAGCCATGAAACCTGGCCATGAGACCGTCGGCAAAGTGTCCTTGAAGCATGTGTACGAAATCGCCAAGATCAAGCAGTCCGAGACGAGATTATCGGGGCTGAGTTTGCAGGGACTGTGCAAGAGTATTATGGCGCAGGCAAAGTCGATTGGTATCCAGGTTGTGCCTTGAATAAGCACCGAGAAGGGAGGACTGTTCATCTCAATTGTATACTTTTGCGATTCGTGCGACTGCAGCCATGCTGTTTTGGATTACGACACCGGCGTTGTTTGGGTTGGGCTTTTACAATGTGTACATTATAGGACTTGCATGCGATATAGAGCGTAGTCAAATACCCACAGCATTTGCACGCACTGAATAAATTGAGGTTGGGGAACTTGAAGACCGGTTGCTGAGAAAGAAATGACCAAGGTCACATTGACAGCGTCTTCCCTCGTAAGATTACGTTGCTCTGCCTTTGCCTGGGGGGATTCGATATTCTGACAAGCTTATAAGCGGTGTGTGAGAAGGAGATTTCCTCTGGACCATCGCGTTCTGATGAGGTAGTTCATAGCATTCCCCCATGCTTGGGTGAAGATCACCAGCTCCAAGTGGCAGTAGCAGGAGACAGTTGTGCAAGAAATCGACGGGAATGCTCAAGGACAACTGCTAGTCAGGTGTTGCCGACCAGATGAGACTCGTAGTTATTTGCCTAGGTATCTAGCCAGCAGATCATAGACGTAATTCATCAATAGTGTCCCAAGGGTTGCACATCGTTCTCCCTGAATTCGCTTGGCGAGAATGAAACTATGCAAATCCACGCAACCCCCCCAGGTATTGTTGTCTTGGCAGATTTCGAGTGGGAAGACATGATGGACGATGCCACCAGCAGATCTAGTGGGAAGTAACTCTGTTGTCAACTATCGAATTTCCGAAGTCGGTGAGTGCAACTTCAAGTCATCCTCCCAAACCGGAAGTGTCCCTACCCCAGCATTCTTTACCCCCTCATACCCCCGTTGTTCTGGAATTTCCAGACAATTGGTGACGAATTGGCCCCATGTATATTGGGCTGCATCGAGACACTTTTCAATAGTCAATGCTCTTCTCCCAAGAAACATGAGTTCAACCTTTTTCAATAGCACCAGTTCATTCGAGTCATACTTTCCAGCCCTCCACTCTTGGCAGACGACTCCCCAAGGATAGCAGTCTCGAAGGTGAAAGCTAGAACAATAATAATGTATCCACCACGGAGCGAATTACTACCTCTTTAGTATCATCATTGGTGATCTCCATGCTAACCGGATTCGGTAATGTCATAGCAATATTCTGGGCATCCCAATCGGGACTAGTCTTGCTGCCCATGTCACTTACCCCACCATATCTGTGGTTACCATGTTGGAGCTGCAAATGGATTGCTGGGGTATATCTAATCATGCAGGTTATTGTACGTAACCTACCTTGGGCACTCTAGTATACAAGTCGTAGTCTGGAGAGAATCTCTAAATGGGACGTGGAAAGAAACGAGAGAGATGATTATCTGGATGAGATACTCAAGCTGACATTATAACTAACGACATGAGATCAGCACGCAGTTGGCAGGGAGATTACCGTCCGAACCAGGTAGGTAGGTACCTCGTCAGAGGTACCTGTACCTTGCCTTTGCCTGTCTTCCTTCGAATTAGCCGCTGCATGCACGATCCTTATCTAATATGAATCATTGATTCAGCGCCAACACAATCCAGAAAAATCTAGCGGGGTAGAAAACCGCCATCCCGGTCTCCGCCAATGCGGGATTGGACCGATCTCGTCCTCTGACAATATGGCAGTCGGCTTCCAATCGTTGGCCTGGGTGGTTGGCTGCAGCCTGCACGGATAGACGGCATCCGTCAGAATTCCCCAGCTGATGAACGGACTGGTTCTTGTCCTTGGGGTTCTTGGACCCGACTGCAGATGGGGGCAGCTGACCTCGAACATGTTGGCCTTGGTGTCTCCACGGAGTATTTATTATCTTGAAAGGTGCCAGGTGCATAGAGTAGAGATGAGTATCCGCTGCGTCATACAAGTTGAACAGACTTCCTACTCCATACGGTAGGTTGAGCATACTTTCTCCGCAATATTCCGAGTTATTTTACATTAGTAACGATTCTCTTCGTTGAAAGACCTGTACTTAGCACGAGGAAAAGATCGTTCAACTATTCGCTCTACCAGCTATGACAGTAATATCTGAAGGAAGGAGGATATCCGCATATGAGCGTACTGTCTTCCGGTGCTTGGGCCAAACAAAGCTGAAATAAAACAAAGCTGAAATATGATGATATATTTTCTTCGCCGAGTCCCAGGTCACCATGTAGATATATGACAGCTAACTAGCATATTAGTCTTCATTAAAATAATCGTTGATGTCTTGTCTCCTTATAGTAAGAATAATTTGGAGTACAACCAAACATAGTCGTAGTAATGTCCAGGCGCAGAGTCCAGCCCACCTTTCCTGTCGTTCCGTCGCCGCTATTGCCGCCGCCGTCCAAGCCCAGAATCGACGGACTCTTGAAAGTGGCTCCAAAACTCCTCTATCCACTGTTCTTACTTACTCTTCTCCCTCTCTTCATTCTCCATTCCCCATTCTCCATTTCAGTGTTTATTCATCCAAGGTAGACATCTCTATTCTACCCAGCAACTACGACTTGTGGATCTGCCTATCTTAATCCTTCGTCGTCTTATCTTCTACCCAGTCCTACTACTTTCAGTCTCATCGTCACCTTTCTTCCCAGACTTGTTCGATTCTTTATCATCTTTCTTTAAATTCAGAGCAGTGGCGATTAATAATTGAACTCCATCCCATTAGGCCCCAACTGGACGGTTGAGTAACAATTGGTCTTCGCCAAAAGTTTTGCTCCGTCTTCCATACGAGGTTTACCTCCCCGCGCTCACTCCTTACAATTCCCACGTTATCTAGCCCTCTACGTCCTGTGCAGGTTGACCCCGCAGGTACAGTCTACAGTCGCAGCAGGAATTACGATCTGAACGACAAGGATTTGTCATTTCAAAGTTTAAACCAACAGGTTCGCGACTGCGGAGGGGCATGCGTTCCACAGCGTGGTTTTGACGAGTCCGTATGACGTCTGGAGCGACCGAGTTTGCCGGTACAACCAAAAACATGGGTCCCGGTAAGCAATGCTCTACCTTCTCGCCTGCACCTCATTCTCTAACGCAGTCAACTTCAATATTAGCATCTCAGTCAGGTCAGGAGCACACCCCGATGGCAACTGGCCAGGCCACGGGTTCGTCCAACAGTGAACATATGGCCAAGGCACAACCGGGTCAGGTTCGATTTTCCACCATCACCGAAGAAATCGAGCCTCCCGACTCTTCAAACGCTCCTCAATCACCCGAACAAGAACCCGCGGTGCCACCAAAGGAGAACGATGATTTACAAAGACTAGCAGAGAGCCTCCAAAGCTCTCAGTTGCAGGAGACTCGGTTGCGAAACTTTTCTTACGATCCCGTTTCTCTTCCTTCGTCAAGGGTATGTGGCATGCGATCGGTCAATGTTGGCTTTCGCGATATTATAGTATCGCTCTACAAAGGCTAGCAGTGGATATAGACTAACACTACGTCGCTTCACAGGTCGCATCTCGAGAGTCAAGCGATCGCAGCGCCCGGGAACCTAATGGCTCCTCGTTGCCGTCTCCCCGTGCTTCTCCGATGCAGTCGCCTCCTCTTACACCTGCAGCTACTAATTCGCGTGAAGCCACACATCAAGGCGTTCCTCCTAACACCAATGCCATGAATAGAACCGCTGCTGCTGCCATGACTCCACAAACGTCGCCTCCAGTAGTGGCTGAGAAAAAAGGGGTACCGCAGAGCGCGCCCTCGTCTCGGCCGTCTTCCACCGACCAACTGTCCAAGCAGATCGATGTTTCGAAAACGTCATCTCATCCCTTGAACGGGCCCAAGCATCGGGCGCAATTCTTTCTCGGTCCCGGGGCTGAACCAAGCTCGCAGGAGGAGAGCCCGCCAATGACACCACGAGACTATACCCCGCCGGGCGCCATTACACCTGTGGGAGAGCCGAACGACCCGTATGCCCGCAGCAAGCGACCGCCTCAGGCTAAGAACCTTGCCCAAATCGATCAAAGATTCATCTTTGGAGGCCGTGACTCCAAACGCCGAAGCCACACCACAGCGGCTTTCGGTCGTCCCGGAACTCCCCGCTCCTCCAGTGCTGGCGACTTGAAATCTAGCGACAAGCGGAGCGGTATCTTCGGCAGCAGGAAAGATCTGCGACAGAGCGACAGTGGTGAAAGCAAACATCATCATGGCCACATGGCGGAGCTCAAGCGATTCTTCAAGATGGGTCACCACAAACATAAGCGAGGCGATTCTCCCTCTTCTATCCCGAAGCGGTCGAGCCGCTCTTCTGGAAAGAGCACGCCCTCAGAAACCGTTCCTTTCGCCGATGACCACGGGCTCAACACCAAATACGGAAAGCTCGGAAAGGTTCTGGGCTCTGGAGCCGGCGGTTCTGTTCGGTTATTGAAGCGCAACAGTGATGGAGTGACTTTCGCCGTGAAACAATTCCGAGACCGTCATTCCTGGGAGACGATGAAGGAATATTCCAAGAAGGTGACAGCCGAGTTTTGTATTGGGTCAACACTGCACCACGGCAACATCATCGAGACACTCGATATCATTCAGGAGGGAGATCACTGGTACGAGGTTATGGAATACGCGCCCTATGACTTGTTTGCGATCGTCATGACCGGGAAAATGTCCAAGGACGAAATCGCATGCTGTTTCAAGCAAATCCTCAGTGGTGTGGCCTACCTGCACGGCATGGGACTGGCGCATCGGGATTTGAAGTTGGATAACGTGGTGGTCAATGAGCACGGCATCATGAAACTTATCGATTTCGGCAGTGCGGTTGTCTTCCGATATCCCTTTGAGAATGACATTGTTCCTGCTTCTGGTGAGTTGTTCCAACGCGGATCTCTGACTTGGACCAGCCTAGCTAACTGGTTTTGTGCTACAGGTATTGTTGGATCCGACCCCTACTTGGCACCAGAGGTGTACGACGAAAAGAAGTATGACCCGCGTCCCACCGATATATGGTCATTGGCTATTATCTTCTGCTGCATGACACTGCGCCGATTTCCGTGGAAACAACCCCGCGTCAGCGACAACTCCTATAGGCTCTTTGTCTCAACACCAACGCCAGGAACCCCCGTCCCGGATGCTGATCCGAAGCGTCACCGCGCCATTAAATCAGCTCCAGACCTGGCGTCTATTGACAACGAGGGCAAACCGGCGCAGCCTGCAGAGGAGAAGAACGGATCAGGTGAGACTTCGGCACATTCGGACTTGGAAAAGAAACAAGCCCCAACCACCTCCACGACGAGTGACGAGAATCGCCCTCCTGAGAGTCCTAAAGATAAGATCAGCGGCAACCTCAGCAAACCGACTCGAACAACGAGCAAGGAAGCGCCGCCTCTCCCAGCTTCAGCGCAGTCATCGAGTCAACGTCAGGAGGTCATCAAGGGTCCTTGGAGGCTCCTGCGTATCCTGCCGCGCGAAAGCCGATATATCATCGGCCGCATGCTCAAGGTGAACGTGAAGGAGCGGGCCACCCTGGAAGATGTTTTGACCGATGAGTGGGTTCGAAACATCCAAGCTTGCCGGCAGGAGGTAACGGGCGAGGTTATCAAAGCTTGCAACCATACCCATGTCCTGGAACCCCCTTCGGCATCGCAGCCGGTCCAGAGCAAAGCCAGCAACAAGCCCAACAACAAGGCCAAATAGGCCTTCCGTCTCGCTTGTCCCTAGAAAATGTTTCTGGTCTTACAGGTGAAATGATTGCTCCCGAATTTTGGATACGACCTGTCTCTACCACCATCCATCTTTCCTCCTTTTATTCACTTAACCCGCCATTACAATAGCCAAGGGCCTCCCATCTGAATTCTATGCCTTCACTTCGCTATGGTGTTGGGTGGAGCTAATACATCCTGTGTCTGCCCTTGCCGCCGTCCTTCTTCTCTGAATACGTGACTGTGCCACGGAGCTTATCGCACTTCTCACCCCCTCACCAGCCTCATCCGTTCTATGTATCATTGTATTGTTGATCTCAGCGTTGGAAAGAGGGCTTAGTGGTTATGTTTACCAGGCGTTGTGGTTTCTTCTTCCTGGGTGGACTGTTGAGCAACACCCGTCTCGTGCAATAGATGTTTATTCGTTAGAGTCTATTTTCCATTATTCTCTTTGCTTGTTGTCGTCAAAATGAGGTTGTGAAGGGGCTGTTAGAGTGTGTCTGGTTTTTGCCAGGAATCCTGTCATTCTGTTTATATTACCAGTGTCTAATTGTGCATTCCCAGAGACAAAGTGGTTAAGTAGATATTATAAATCAAGAAATACCGAATATGAAGGCTGTTCATGAGCTCTTCAAGTGAATGGTTTGTGATGATGATCTTCCAGATGGGCTGTTGACGTAGTTGGCGGAGATAGCGGACTTTATGCCGACTCCCACAGTGGGCGATTATCGGAGATGGTCGAAATCTGGAGCTTCATTTCGACACGGACAATCTCAGTCTCTGCTTCCTGCAGCTTTACACCCTTTTCAAAGCTCATTTTCGGTTATTACCCCCAATTATCATCCTGCAATAACCTTCAATAGATTGGTTAGGTAATTACACAGCACAAACGCCTCTTTGGTCCGACATGTTGAGGTAGAACGTGACTCAGAACTGCAACCTCCAACTTCCTTTCTACCATGGCCCAGCAATCAGAAGCAGAGCCATTGGTCTCCCTATGGACGAGATCCCTGATTGTAAGATTAGTTCCTTTTCTATCCATGTCTCCTTAATGTTATCTGTCAACTCTTCTCCTCCGGTGGCACAGTGCTAACCTCTTCCCTTTCCTGCGCCTCTAGTCCGGAGCAGTGGCCGGCCTCACAGTCGATTGCTCATTATATCCCCTCGACACAATCAAAACTCGTCTACAAAAAGCTAGACACCATGCTCCGAGCACACCAGCGCCCACCCTGTCACTAAGACAAACCATCCGCGGCATCTATGCGGGTCTCCCGTCCGTGCTGTTCGGCTCCGCCCCTTCCGCCGCGTCCTTCTTCATCGTCTACGACGGCGTCAAACGCTCTCTCCTCCCTCCCTCTGGCTCCGACGCGGCCCCCTCGCGCTCCCACATCGTCCTCACACACTCGCTCGCCTCCTCGATGGGCGAGATTGCCGCATGCGCCGTGCGGGTGCCGACGGAGGTGGTCAAGCAGCGCGCACAGGCCGGTCTCTTCGGGGGATCGAGTCTGCTCGCGCTCAAGGACATCCTGGCGCTGCGGCACCCGGACCCGACGGGGAATGCGAAGCGCGGGTACGGGCAGGTCCTGCGGGAGCTGTACCGTGGGGCGGGGATCACGATTGCGCGTGAGATCCCCTTCACGGTGCTGCAGTTTACCATGTGGGAGTCGATGAAGGAGGCGTATGCCAAGCGCGTGCTGGTGCCGTCGTCGCCGGAGTCGGGCGCGTTGAGCCAGGTTCCTGCGTCGACGAGCGCGATGTTTGGCAGTGTTGCGGGGTCCATTGCGGCGGGGTTGACGACGCCGCTGGATGTTATTAAGACGCGGGTGATGCTGGCGCGGCGCGGCGAGGGGGGCGCCCGCGTGCGCATCCGCGATGTTGTGCAGGAGATCTCTGCGGAAGGATTCGGGGCGTTCTGGCGCGGGATTGGGCCGCGAGTGGCCTGGATTGGGATCGGGGGCGCGGTGTTTCTGGGGAGTTACCAGTGGGCGTGGAATACCCTTGAGCGGAAGCGGGAATCGCAATAGATTGTATATCTATATCTGCCGAAGTGTATATGGCAATGTATGTACAGTAGACGGCGCATTGCAGTCAATCATCCATCCTTCTTCAACATCCAGCTCAGCGCCCGGTATTGCTCCTCCGGTAGCAGCCTCTCCATGGTCTGGGGACTCAGAAACTCGTGATCCTCGAATTCAAACCCAGGGACAACAGTCTGGCATGTCAATCGCTCTCTTTACCTAGTATCGACAGTTAGTTTACTTACCTCCGTAATCAACAACCCCTCGCTCTCCCCAGCCCCGGTCTCCGAGGGGTCATCCGGCAACAGATAACAAGCTTTATACTTGCCCCCCTCCACAACCCACTGCATCCTCTCCCCCTTGTCTAGATCCGGACCGACCACAAACGACGTAACAGGCGCGGTGCCATCATCCGCTACCCAATCCGCGTGGATAATGACGTACCGCGCTCGGCCGCGGTGAAGACTGTGAATCGTGCGGCTGCGGTTCAGGTGGAAGAAGCAGGTTGGGGAGTCGGGGGTGAGATAGTAGTAGATTGTTGAGGAGAGGGAGCGGGTGTTGCTGTCAGTGTCGGTGTCGGTGGTGCTTTGGTCTTTGCTGTGTGGATAGGGGATGCGGAGCGGGTGTCGGTCGGTTTCAGTGTAGTAGCCTCCTTCTGGATGAGCTTGGAGATGGAGGGATTGGATGGTTGTTTGGATGGATTTGGATTTGGATTTGGAGGTGGGGGTGGTGGGAGATGGGTGGTAGATTGGTTTGATGGAGGTGATGGGGATGTCCATGTTATCTGAGGTACATGTATAGATGGATAGGTAGAACGAGATGCGTTCGTAGGTGTTTGTTGTTTATAGATACAATTTAATACCTTGGGGTTACACAGCGCCATCAAGATGATATCAGGGTGGATACCAAGTTGGAGACTGTTCTCTGTGCTCTCTCCAGTCATCATGACAGTTGTTTGATGAATGCCATCTAGCCAGTTGACTGTTGAACAGTGTTACACTGCACAGGACTCGAGAGTGAAACGTCAGCTGGGAAGGAATAGACTCGAACATATGGTGAAACAGCAACGCTGGTGCATAGTCTACGCGACAGATCTATCTGTTGCTGGTGTGTTGAGAGACATTGTGGAAATCAGGCTATTATCTAGCAGACTATGGAGACTTAGCATTCTGGCTTACTGGCTAGGAAACATACACACAGACATATTAACAACCAGTTATAGAACACTTTCTTTGTTATCCCGCCTTCTCCTCTCCTCTCCTCATTTCCCTCCAGTCTTAGTTTACTCCTCTTCTTCTCCTACTCCTACCTCCTACCTCTCTCTTACGGTCTTTGAATTGTGCTAGTTTATCCATTAATCTCATCTTCACTCTTTCTCTGTCATCTGTTAATACCATCATCTATGCCCTTAGATGCATCACCCTTAGTACCCCACATTCTCTGCACTCCTTGTGTGATCGTCCCCCCGAGCTGTCCGGCGGATCACCACTAACCAACCACTCCGCAATCCGCATCGTCTCCCCGTCTCCGCAGCATTTGTCCTTGCCTTCCATCATCCTTCTAGTGCATTGGTCTGTCTCCCTGCTGCATGGCACGGAAACCAAGTCATCAGAGGGTCACTTATGGTATGTTCTTTTCCTCGACTTATCTGTCTACCCTCTGACCTGTCGCATTGCGGCCCCCACGGCTTATCTAACTGCGGCTGTTTAGTGCTCCCTCTGCCTGATGCGCCGGGTGGTCACCGACTCGGCGTAAATAGCTTGACCGTTGATGAAGACAATTCTATCCTGTGAGCATGTCCCTATCTAGTGCCTATGATAATTTATGCGAAAGTCCCTGCCGTTGCACGCTGCAGTAGCTGACTGCTGTCCTCCCAAGGTATTCCGCTGGCCGCGATGGAGTGATCTGCTCATGGGATCTCAATCTCCCTCTCTCCGCATCCAAAGCTTCTCCAGCTCTAGGCGCCCAAAAGTCAGGGCCGACTACCTTCAGACATCAAGTGCAGGCCCACAGCCATTGGATCAACGACATCGTCTTAACGCAGAATAATTCGGCCCTCGTTTCGGCTTCATCGGATACCACCGTGAGACTTTGGCGACCACACTCGGAATCTACTGAGCTGCCATCACCGATCGGCAAACATGCAGATTACGTCAAGGCCCTTGCGACGCCCGGAGGTCACTCAAGTTGGGTGGCCTCGGGAGGTCTCGATCATAAGCTTTATCTGTGGGATCTGAATGGTGGCGGTGAGGTTCTCAGCATCGACGCTTGCGGAGGCGAGAGCACGGCCAAGGGTTCTGTTTATGCGCTGGGGGCGGTCTCTTCGGTCCTCGCCAGCGGTGGCCCGGAGAGCGTGGTCAGAGTCTGGGATCCCAAATCTGGAAAGCCGATCACCAAATTCGTGGGGCATACAGACAACATTCGAGACATCTTGATCACTCGCGACGGAGATAGGATCATGACTGCCTCTTCAGATCAGACGATCAAGATCTGGTCTCTCACAGCAGGAAGATGCATGCACACCCTGACGATGCACAACGACAGCGTCTGGTCCCTCTACTCCAACCATCCACAGCTATCGGTCTTCTATTCGAGCGACCGTTCTGGCTTGGTTGCCAAGACTGATACAAGGCACTGCTCGGATGTGGATCAAGGCATTTGTGTCGCAGCGTTGCAAGAAAACGACGGCGTCGTGAATGTGGTCGCTGCCGGTGACTACATCTGGACTGCCACCCCCAAGTCCAGTATCAACCGCTGGTACGATGTTGATACCACTGCCGAGATTGAGTATCCCTCGTCAAGGGGCCCCGCAGGATCTGACGCCGCCAAACCTGAGGAGTCCTTGACCCAGAAAGGTCGGCGGACCAAGATACCGTATGAGTCGATTCTACTGTTGACAAGCACATCGACATTCCCCAAGTCACGAGTACCAGAAGGTACATCCGAGGGCTTGCCGACGAATGGACAGCAGCGCTCGCCCGATCCGGACTTGGACGATGATCTGGATCTCAATCTACCAGTATATTCGTTACCCGAAGAGACGATAGAGGGCCAACATGGTTTGATTAAGCATTTCATGCTGAATGACAGAAAGCGCACACTCACGCAAGATTCCGCCGGTGAGGTTGTTCTTTGGGATCTTCTGAAGGTAATTCTCTCGCCATCCACCCGACCAGGCTTCTTCTGACCCTTGCAGTGCAAACCAATACAATCGTTCGGCAAGCGCCATATGGACGATGTCGCATCGGAGATCAATACTACAGAGAGCATCGCTCACTGGTGCACGATTGACATTAGGACAGGTCGATTATCTGTCATCCTGGAGCTCAATCGCTGCTTTGATGCCGAGGTCTACGCGGACGAGGCCGACCTCCATGATTACTCACAGATCCGGGAAGATCAAAGAAGTGGGTGACTTTCCTTTCCTCGACCCTCGAATATTCGATTTATCTTTTCTCTTGTCTGATCTGGCTGACCTTAAACAGTAAATCTTGGAAAATGGGTTCTCCGTTGGCTTTTTGCTCCCCTTGTGGACGAAGAGATCAAGCGAGATGAGCAGTACCGTGCGTCGGCCATTGCGAAGGCCGAAGAGTTGGCCAGACAGACCATGTCGAGTGTCACCGCACCGATGGACATTCCATCACCGAATGCAAAGAATCTAGGAATACAGATCCCTTATGATCCATCTTCTCTGCCCATGCGCCCTGGAAATGAGTCGTTTGGAAGCCCTACGACGCCTGGTTTTGGAATCCATCTTGCCACCACTCCAGGTTCTTTGACGTCTTCCATGCTCAACACCCACAACAATCACTTTGGCACCTCGCCGGGTGATGTCGGGGACCATCTGGCGTCGCCTCATACCGACGTAGTGAGGAATTCCATGTCAGACAAATCCGATTATTTCTCGTCTTCGAGACAACAAGGCTCAAATGCGTTGGATGCGACGACACCCGGAGATCCTACTCCAACCGCTCTGCCCCAATCGCCCGCCGAGCCTGATAAAGAAGAGAGGAAGAGAACTGGATCGATATTTGGGAAGAAATTCCGCATGGAATTCCCCAAGAAGTTGGGTAGGACGTCCTCAGAGGTCAAGCCTCAGGTGCAGGAGGAGAAGGCAGAGGAACCGGAAGAACCCTCGGCAGTCAAAGAAGAGAAAGTTTTTGATAGCAATCTGTGCGGTTTCATCGAGAGAATTCGTCATGAATATGATGAATTTCTCGCGGCGAATCCGGGACAGGAGCTCGTGTCAGCCATCACGCCAAGTCCCGATAACGAGACCCCAATGCTAGATATCCCACCTCGTACTGCCGTTTTCATTCAGGAGGAATCGGGAGATACCGCTGTGGCCTCGGATCTCTACAGAGGCAGTGTTGGTAGCATCGGCCAGGAAATTGACAGGCTTGAGAAGTCGATACCCATGTGGCTGGCTGAACTACTCTTGAAGGTGAGATTTCGTCAGCGATTCGGATTTTGAAACATGGCTAACCCTTGGTAGAACCAAGTGCCTGTCAAGGAACCCGTCAAGATCGCCTTTATGCTGAAACCTTATGACGACCTGCTGCCCCCCGTATCCAAGCCAGATCTGTATGTACAATTTCGGGGATTCTGTTGTGCTCTGCTAACAATATACCCTCTGTAGGTCGGTTCCTAACGGTAACGGTGTCAACAATTCTCGGCTGAATGCGAACCGTATGCTGCGTGCGAAGAAGATCCTCGCTTACGTGGCGGAAAGAATTGACCCTTCATACTCCGAAGAGCCGCAGGAAGGCGCACTGAAGCCGGAAGAGTATCTGGAGCTCTACTGCCAGAAGATGGTGTGTACATTTCGATGCAAGGCGACTTCGTACCGCATTGCTAACTTGAACCAGCTCATCCCACCCAATATGACTCTGGCAACCATCCGCGCTCACATCTGGCGATCATCCGGCGATATGGTTCTCTACTATAGAGCCAACGGAAAGAAAGAGATACCAATGCCCGGGTCAGGTAGAGAAGGCGATCAAGGCAGTCAGTCGGCCGACGCAACGAATACGCCACATCTGTCGGAGACAGCAGGCATGGCGAACGGGGATGGAGAAAGCGCTCAACCCAGCAGTGTCCATTCTCAGACAGCGTCAGGATCTGCTTCTGTGTCTATCCAAAACTCGTGAACTCTACGACTGGTTGTGCTGTTTAGGATGCAATCTTATGAGGCATTGAGGCCGAGAGCCGTGCTCCGTCTTTTTTTTCCCTCTTTAACCTTCTCTGTCATATTATTCTCTGTGTCCATATTGCACATCCGGAGTTTGGGATCCGTCTTTGCTACCGCCGTGGCCTCTTCTGGGCGGGCTGTTGTGGGATTGTTGTGGGTATGGCCTGCTCCAGACGTGTAGAACACCATGTACTCGATTAATGAGATTAGCGATTACAAAAATTCTAGTGGATTGATGTGATTCCTGATGTGTTTCAAGCGTAAAGGTCTTCGACGCTCACAAAGCGACCAAATATATTTCGTCCGCGGACGCCAAGAACCACCACTACTTTCTCTTTCTGACATCTTATCTTTTCCAGCAACATCAACAACACACATCATCCCTTCAGTTTAGCCAGAATGATAAATGGCTGCATCATGTCTCTCCAGACAACTTTCTCACAAAGGAATCACAGCCTCCCAGTTTCTGGAGCATTTCCAGCGAGCATGGTGCGAGTCGCGTCTCTCCTGGGGCGGACGACAGGCCAATCGCCTCATCCCTCGTAACCTGGGTATGTCAGTTCGCATCAGCGCTGAGCAATCACGGCC